ACGCTTTTTTATAAACCGCTTCGCGGTTTATAAAGCGTAAACTGCCCCAAGTTATGTTATATGGTATAACATAAGTTGAAATTAGCTTCATTCCTTAAATACATGTAGAACTTGGAAAACGATACTACATGTGCCAATTTTAGGAAGGACGCTCACGCTTTTTTTTGTAGTTAATCAGGTTTTATGCTACCACCCCCATTTTGTTAAGGTTTTGTTGAAACTAGCAAACGACAAAAGACATTTTACGGGTTTTGAGCTAACCACATTTTGTTTCCCTTGTACCATATGTCAGAGGCAATTTAATTTCGTACTTATATTTACAAATTAAATCATCCCTATTTTTATGAGAAGATTGAAAATTCATTCATAGAATTTTTATAAGATCTTATTTTCTAAGCTAGCACCCCTTTTCAAAATTTTAAAAGTAGGGATCAAAAACGTTAAACGTTCAACTTTTGAAAAATAAAACTTTATTTTGATTATTGCAAATTATTTATCCGGGGTAAAATCAAAGAGATTTATGATTAATTAATTATGGAAACTTTTTTCCTGACACAAGCTAGAAAATAACATTTTTTTAAGATTGACAACTGTGAAAACTTACTTTATAAAATGAAACAATCGTTTCTTTGAATGCTCGTATCGTTGCTCTAACAGCTTTTAGTTAAAACAATTTAATGTTATCTCCTTTGATGGGGATAAAACAGTTTGTATAATAAATGTAAGGTATTGTATAGCTTTGATTTCATTATCTAAGCTTAGAAGCTCCCAGAAATGATACTTCAAAGCATAAGGCAGCTTTATATTACCCGTATACATTCACCAAACAAGAATTTTCTCACCAAAACGAATGTTTTTGCATCCAAAAATGACAAGGGGTCATTATTCTTCGGGGTCATTTTTATACAATCCACACAGATAAAAACGACCCCAAGGCCATAATTTCTACAGAAAAGTGGGTCAATTTTCTACGTATAATATTGACCAGGGGGTCAAATTTATACGTAGAAAAATGATTCCCGGTCAATATTCTACGGGGGTCACTTTTCGTCGTTACACCTGTAAACCATCGTCTGAAGCCACGGTCTGGATTCCGCATATAATTATAGATTTCTCCAGATGGGAGAGGAGCGTACATTTTGGCCGTGGTTTGCGACGATGCCGGCTAATTGGCGTTCAAATTTTTGATGATCATTAGAATATGGAGTGCCATATACGATAGCCAACGGCTTCCTGCCAACTTTCAGCTGCTTACTGCTAACTGCCACACATTTAAGGAATGACTCTAATTCTTGGCCATATTATCGAGTATAATCTGGTTTGGGTCAGTTTACGCTTTATAATCCGCGAAGCGGATTATAAAAAAGCGTAAACTGACCCAAACCAGATTATACTCGATAATATGGCAAAGAATTAAAGTCATTCCTTATAATTTAATTTTAAAATAATTAAACAACTTTTGATGTAAAATTGTGTTGCTTTTTATAAGTTCAAATTTACCGCGCAATAATACAACCGTAGTAACGGAAGTGATTTGAAGCGAGGGGAGGTAATAACTAATACAAAGATCTAGCAGCCATGATGTTTGTTTACATGAGGTAAGAACGAGTAATTGTTTATAGTTGAAGGTACATTTATTAAATTTGGAATTTTCCATGGATTCCGAGGGCTGGAAATGAGGGGATTGCATGGATCCATATGATGATTAAGCTGGTGTCAAGGGGGTGCGTCCCCATACCAAACCAGATTATACAAATCAATTTGCGTTCCTTTTTGGAAATCAACGAATGAGAGGCGAGAATACAAACAAAATAAAATTATATTTGAATAAATTTTAATTTTATATTGATATTTATGTGAATTTTCAAAAAAAAAAACCAGGAGGAACTAGAACATTTTTTCCAAGAGGGTCACTAATGTAAAAAAATCCAACCCAGAAATTTCTTGACAAGAAAAAAAAGTTATGTCCTTTCCTTATGGTTAAAATTTATTTCGGCCGGGGAGAGGGGGTTCCCATGCGTCATACCTTCGTGTCTATGACATTTTTTAAAATACCAACCGCGTTTTCGGGGGGAGGGGGTGGTTCTAAGGTCCCTTGATTTATTTTATACTTTGAATAACTTTTAGTTGGTTTAGTTTGTGCATTGAATAACTTTACAAATTTCAGAGGGGTGGTCCGAACCTCTCTTTCTCTAGATCTATGCATGTAAAACATATTTTATTTGTAAAAACAAAGAAACAAAGAGATATATATGTTTGATCGGCGTTTTCTACGTGTAGGGTCCAAGATCAGTTTTAGTTCGTATAGTTTATACAATAATCCATGACTGTACAAATTTTAAATGCCCCCCCCCCCCCAACCCCAAGATATTTGCATATGAAACATTATTACGTAGAGAGAGATATACACTTTTAATTTGATTTGAGGAAATTTTAAACTATAGAATATAATGGAAAATTTAAATTTATTTCCAAAACATCTTTATCTGCGACTGCCACATACTGCTAACTGCCAACTGCTGACTGCTTACTGCCAACCGTCACACATATTTGAATAAATTCTATATCTATATTGATATTTATATGAATTTTCAAAAGAAGAAGAAAAAAAAAGGCGCGGATCCAGGACATTTTTTCCAAGGGGTCACCCTGATAAATTTAAATTGAGTAAATGTCCATTATGTTTTAATTTACGTAATATTCAATATATGCCATTGATAAAGTACATTGTTTATTTTTATTTTATTTTCTTATTTGAAATAGGTAATAAATTGACTACTTTCTGCTTTTAATCTTTAAAGAAGTAACCCCCTCCCCCCGGAGACAACAAAACCTTTGAAGAGAGAAAATTTCAACAAAAAAAAAGAAGAGTTTTCGTTTCGCAGATAACTTTGGGCGCGCTTGATTTGTCTACACCTTACACCCGGTGTACACTTTTTCATAATCAAGTGCAAAAGTGTACACTTTTGGTGTACACCTTCTACACCCTGTGCAGGGCATGTGTAGGTAATTACACCGAAAATTCAATATGGCTGACAAATGACGAAACGGTAAAACTGCAGAATTTCTTTTTCTTTATTTGAGTTTACTGTCAAGTATTTGATAGGTTCGTTGTGAAGAATTGTTTATAGTTATAAAGTGGACCATGTTTTGCGCATTTTATGGAAAAAGAAAAACTTAATAATTTGTAAAATAAAAAAAATAAGCAAATTTTGCAAGTTTTGGTGATAAAGTCTCTAGATATATTTGACTATGGCTAGATATTAAGTTATAGGGGTAATTATGGGCAGCTAGGAAAATGTTTAATAAAAAATTCTTTGCATGTTGAAAAATGTTTTGTTATTAAAGGTATTTTAAAAGAATGATCACAATCGCCAAATATATTATTAAAAAATCGTCTGCAAATAGTCCCCTCTCAGTTTGTTGAAATTTTGACGTCCATGTTGAATTTGCCACACTACACCCAATTTCACTTGATTATGAGGTGTAAATCGTCTACACCGGGTGTAGTAAGGTGTAGACAAATCAAGCGCGCCCAAAGATGTTTTGAAAATAAATTTACATTAATTTTCCATTATATTCTAGAGTTAAAAATTTCCTCAAAAAAGATGTATATCTCTGTGTCTTTAAAATTTTTCACATGCAAAGATCTTGAGGGTGTGGTGGGGGCATTTAAAATTTGTACAGTCATGGGTAAATGTATAAACTAAACGAACTAAAACCGACCTTGGACCCTCACTTAGAAAATGCCAATCAAACATACATCTCTCTTTGTTTTTACAAATAAGATATGTTTTACATTCATAGATCTAGAGAATCAGGTCCGGACCACCCTCTGAAATTTGTAAAGTTATTTAATGCACAAATTAAACCAACTAAAAGTTATTCAATGTATAAAATAAATCAACTAAAAGGGACCACCCCCCCCCCCCCCCCGCCCGAAAAAGCGAATTCGTGTTAAGTTTGTATTAAAAAAATTGTCATAGACATGAAGGTATGACGCATGAGAACCCCCCTCTCCTCGGCCGAAAGAAATTTTCACATTAAGGAGAGGACTTTAGCTTTTTTTCTTGTCAAGAAATTTCTGGGTTGGATTTTTTTTTAAACATGAGTGACCCTCTTGGAAAAAAAATAATGTTCTAGATCCGCGCCTTTTTTTTTTGAAAATTCACATAAATATCAATATAAAAATAAACTGTATTCAAATATATGTGGCAGTTAGCAGCAAGCAGCAGAAAGTTGGCAGTAAGTAGTCAGCAGTTGGCAGTAAGCAGTTGGCTGTCGTATATGGCATTCCATATTAGAAAGACCCTAGTTAAATATTTGTAAAAATGGAAAAATAAATTTTGAAATTTTAGCTTAAACCGTGTCTATGCCCTTTTACTACTCCCTGTAATCTTGTCATTTTTAACATAAGAGAGGTACGTGTATATGTGTATGTATAACACATCATGTATTACAATGCTGCCAGATTTTCCTGATTAAAATTGAAAACATGTACATTTTACCAGTATGAAACCAATTGAAAAAGATATGGTTTGGAAAACGAAAGAATATATTGTCAACTACATTGAATGATTTTACATGCATACACCCAGTGTCCAAGTTATTCGATTTAGCCAAGTTTTAAACCTGAATTTAATCAATGTTTGTCTTTTTACAATAATTTTTTGATATTGTTAAAATTGACATTTATTACAGAATATTTGTTCATTGAAATTGTTCAACGCATGAGTCGACAATTTTTTAGCTATGTTTCGACGAACTGTTAGTTAAAAACTTTCAAAAACTCAAGACAAGAAAAAATTTTATGAAAAAGAAAACATACTGTGAAGAATTGGATAATATAAATATCATCTTATTCATTTTATAAATCTATAAATTTAAATCATTTCTTCTTATTTTTTTTCAAAATGGTTACAACTTTAAAATTTTGAAACAGTGTCGTGTTAATGAGTGTATAACATATAAACTTGTCATGAGATGTATAAAGCATCCTTTCACCGCCAACTGAAGCGAAAAATACTTTCAATCCAGTTTTGCCCTGTCCCCCCTTGGTTCCTATGGCCATGAGCCGCAATCTTTTCTAATTCTTTAACAATACTTAAATGTGCACCCTCCCTTGCAGCTATGAGTGGTGTGCATCCCTCATTATCCTCTAGATTTATATCAGCCCCCATTTTGATAAGTTCTTGCACAATGTTCACATGCCCATACCTACATGCAGCTATTAATGGTGTATTTCTTACCATACCTTTATGATTGACGTTAGCCCTGAATTTGAAAAGTTCTTGAACAATGCACATGTGTCCGCCAATACAAGCTGCTACAAGTGGTGTTTTCCCCATGATATTTTGTACATTTACCTCAGCCCCCTTCTTAATTAGTTCTTGTACTATGCTCAAATACCCACGCTCACATGCAGTTATCAATGGTGTATTCCCTTCTTTATTCTGTAGATTGACATCAGCCCCAAATTTTATTAGTTCTTGTGCAATGTTGAAAAAATCTCTCTTTAATGCAGTTATCAGTGCTGTGTTCCGCTCTTGATCCCGTAAATTGGCATCACCTCTCGCCTCTAATAATTCTTGAACAATGCTCAAATTTCCACTTTCACATGCAATTATCAGTGGTATATGTCCCTTTCCACCCGGTAGATTTACATCAGCCCCTGATGTTATTAAATTTTGTATAATGTTAAAATCTCCTCTCTCTAATGTAGTTGTCAGTGGTGTATTTCCTTTATTATCACAAACATTGACATCAGCCCCAGCCATTATTAGGTTTTGAGCAATGCTCAAATGTCCCTCCTTTAATACAGTTATCAGTGCTGTATTCCGCTCTTGCTCACACATATTAATGTCAGCCCCAACATTAATTAGTTCTTGCACAATACTCAAATTTCCTTTATCATATGCAATTATAAGTGATGTACGCCCGTTCTCACGAGGTATATTGACATCAGCTCCTGTTTTTATCAACTCTTGTATAATGGTAAAATGTCCCCCTTCTAATGCAGTTGTCAGTGCTGTATTTCCTTTTTTATCACAAACATCGACGTCAGCTCCTCTCTTGATTAATTCTTGCATAATGTTAAAATGTCCCTTCTTACATGCAATTGAAAGTGGTGTGTTCCCATCATTATCACAAACATTTACGTCAGCTCCCACACTTACTAGGTCTTGAAAAATGCTCAAATGACCACCCTCACATGCAGTTATTAGTGCAATACGCCCGTTTTCACTTGGTAGATTTACATTAGCCCCCGTCTTAATTAATTCTTGCATTATGTTAAAATGTCTTCTCTTACATGCAGTTGTCAGTGCTGTATTTCCTTTTTTATCGCAAACATTGACGTCAGCGCATGCCTTTATTAGTTCTTGCAAAATGTTCAAATGTCCACCTTTACTTGCAATTACAAGTACACTACGCCCCTTTTCACTCGATATATTGACATCAGTCCCTGCCCTTATTAGTTCTTGTATAATGTTTAAATGTCCCCTCTCTACTGCAGTTGTCAGTGGTGTATTTCCTTTAAAATCCATAGCATTGAAGTCGGCCCCAACTTCTATTAGTTCTTGTACAGTTCTCAAATGTCCACCCTCACATGCAGCTGCAAGTGGCGTACACACCTAGCTTGTCTTTAATTTGATTTGCATAATGTTAAAATGTCCCTTCTTACATGCAATTGAAAGTGGTGTGTTCCCATAATAATCACAAACATTGAGGTCGGCCCCAACCTCTATTAATTCTTGCACAATTCTCAAATGTCCTTCATCACTCGCAGTTATCAGTGCTGTACGCCTGTTTTCATCCGCTAGATTTATACTAGCCCCTGCTTTAATTAATTCCTGCACAATACTCATATAGCCACCCTTACATGCAGCTGCAAGTGGCGTACATCTCCAGCTTGTCTTTGATTTGATTTGTAAATGTAGGAACTCTATTTTATCAAAAATTTCATGTCGAAACATCGGATTTTTGATCGCATCTTTACACACATACTTCAAAACAATTTTAACAGTCTCAAGATTACCACTGTAGCAGCTGAGTAGTAACATAATGATATCATTTGAGAGCATGTCTGCATAATGACTCTCTCTTGAAGAAAAAGCTGGAAAGAATCGGTACTTGACAGCACCGTAGAATAGCTCAGATTTTTCCTCTTCATGTTTTTCAGTTATACCAACAATGTATTGTAGAATATGATGATGTCCATAGAAGACTACCCAACTAATCACTTTCACTGTATGTTTCATTCTTTCCCTCCAATTACTGAAATATCTTGTTCTCTCCAAAATCTTTGGGTAAAATCGTTCGTACAGAAATAAAGATTTTATGTCACCGTATGACTTTTTTTCTAACACATCAATAAAGGCCTTGCACATTTTAGGATTTTTTAAAACTTCATTTGTAAAGACATCATCCAGCTCCATTTCCTCTATGTCTCTGTACAACCTCTCAGCTAGCAGTGGGTACTGATCCTCACTTAACCTTATACACAGATCAAAAGACTCTTCAGTTTCATTACTTTTACCAACATTCTTTTTGTCTCCTTTATCACTCTGATCTGAATAAAAAATAATCCCCCTCTCTTCACTCTTGTACAGTGAGATTGCTTCACTTTTTTGTAGTTTTACTTTGTTAGCAATATAGTTACTACTCATGTACTGTAGTATTTGGGCTGGGAACTGTTGCCCATAATGATATGCACAAAGCTCATACGCATAATCATGTATAAATGTATACTCTGTGCCACTCTTTCTTGTGTATGCCCCCTCCATTGCTGACAATGCCTCAACAAATTTGAAAGTACTAGTACAAGTCTGCAACTCAAGGTTTTTTAACACACTGTTTTTCATTTTATTGAAAACGGTATTTCTCTTATCTTTAAGAATATCTTCAGAGAGTTTTTCATTCATTATGCATAAAGCTAACGTTGCGTAAAAGAATTTGGTTTTTGCTTGCATTTCATCAAGTTCAGTGATTATGCATTCATCTGGATTTGTGAAAAACTTTGAACCAAAATTTCTGAATTTTTCTTCCTTTGAGAACAGTTTGCAGAGAAGGGGAAACATATGAGAAGCCGATGTCAGCAAAGATGGCGACAGTAATTCAGAACGTAAGCCATAATTCTCCATCATAAGTATCTTATCATTGTCATCTAATGCATATTCAGAACTGTTCAAATCAATCACACTTTCATTCCACCTAAATGACGGGTCATAAGATAAGGATTCATTGTACACAGCCTCTCTACATGTTAAGAGAGTTTTAAATCTAAATATGGAAAGAATTGCCATTTCATATTCATTATCTTTCAACAAATATGCTAAATAATCTAATTTTGTTATTTGAAGACCAAACACGCCTACAACGTCATCAACGACAAAGACCTTTCGGTTATTTGTTACTTCAAAATATTTCCATCCTTTGATTTCTGTGATGTGTTTTATTGGTATGATCTCGTAACCCTCACTTCTGAGCATTAAAGCAATGTGATGAGCTGTGGCAGACTTCCCTGAACCAGGGCCACCAACAAATGTTACAAATCCTTGCTTTCTCACTTTCTCCATAATTTTGTGAAAGCTGTGAGTTTCCTGATAAAGTTTGTCCTCATCCTTCCATTTAGCTAACTCCACATCTTTTTCTGAAAGTATCATCAGAGTAGATTAAAACTATTGATTTTGTAAGAATAAATATTCTAAATTCATTTGAGTATGTAATGTACACAAACATTCGAAAATTATTTTATTCAGTGGTGTTGGAGGAATTCTGGATAAGTTATAACTAACCCTTCGTACCGAGAATGACAAAGTTCTGATGTTGCTAAGGAAAATCGCAAATATCTCTCCAGTCGAAAAATAAACTAGAAGGTACACAATGACAGACTGAGTTTATCTATTTTCAGAGGTATTTGTAGAGTATAACCTAACAAAACTTCTAAGTGTTGACTTAAATTAATGTATTTATTCAAAAACTACTTTGTATAATGCCATGTATGGCATGCAAAATTCACAAAAATGAGCAAAACATAGTTTTACAGTCGATAAACTAGGTTTATCGGTTGTAAACTATAGTTTACGGACTGTAAACAATAGTTAACAAAGTTAAGCTATATTTTACATCTGTAAACCATAGTTAACGCGATAATCTACTGAGTATGTTTCACAACCGTAAAATATACTAACACCGAAACCATCATTTGCGATTGCAAAACATAGATTATTTGATAAATACAATTTCACGATTTGTAAACTATAGTTTACAAACCGTTAACAATAGTTAACGATCTGATAAAGTATAGTTTCCCGATTTGTGAAATGACTTTTAAAAATTAACAACCAGTATCAAAACCCATTTTAACACATTTTTCTAAAGGACATGTGTAATTTTCACCGCCAATTTATCATAATTTGAAAGCTTTATACAAAATTTAACCAAACCGGAAATGACCTTGATCTTCGTCTGAGGCCAAAATTTCGCGTCACACTAGGTTTAAAGAGTGTGAAATTGTCCTTAAACAATCTTAGAAACATGAAAACAAACAATTTCAGTCGTCTGAAAATGATAAGAAATCGGTGCTCGCGACAGTTTAATATCAGCTCAAGCAGTCTGAATCATCCTTAAAGCGGTGCACATAAGTGCTGAACGCCATCTCTGTGAGATGATGTACTGTTAAATTCCCGAATCTGAGTCTCAGTGAACACATTTGGAATTTTTGTAAGGACTGTCAAAGCCCCCTCCCCCTCCACACAATATCAACGGTCCATGCAGCGGATGAGTCAATCTCCTATTCAGGGGTACATGGTATCTAACAGTAAATGATGTCTTGTAGTAATTAGAGAAAGTGGTGATTATTTTGTGTGAATTTTCATTTTGAGGGTACATCATTTCCTTGACATTTTGCTTAAAATTCTGACAAGATACTAACATGAAATTAATGCAACATCGAACTGTAGTATGCATCATTAACCATGAATTAAAGAAATTATTTATTGTATGCATTTGATCTTTAAAATTTAAAAAATGTAAGGTGAACACTTAGAAGTTTGGTTCAGAGTATATGTTTTCTCAAGTTTTTTTTCAAAGAAATCTGAAGGATATTCGGGGTACCTTAAGATCAAAACCCAAAACTATCAATAAAACAATACCTGGTATCCTACAGAAGAAAGAATTTTCTGACAGTAAAAGGCAAAATCATTACGAATGTCTTACAATATACTCGTAAAATGGCGTGTTCCCATTTCACTTTTTCTGTGAAATAAAGGTACAAAAAGGCTACCTGCAGAATTGTTAAAAATAGATAGGAGAACTACAGTGCCACCCATTAAAAATTGTATAATTATTTAGAATGAAAAGGTGCGTTGTTTCTCTATTTATTTCTCCATGGTGTTAAACCTTTCAGCTCAAAATATCACAAACCGTGTATTCTTAACTTATTTTTTCAATGTTTCCAGAACAATACTTTCTTGACAATAACCATTTTGAACCTGAAATTTGGGGCCATCGAACTTTTCGCCCATCTACACTGCCAGTACTTTTAGTTTGCAAGATAATTAGGCCCAACGCACTTCGTGCAGATATCAACCACAAGAGTGCTAATATATGTGTAAGGAATTCATTGATCTATCTTTTTGGCATTTCAGGTAAGAACATGGAGATATTAACCCAGAACCTAGCGCAATATACATTTTTTGTTATGGGTGACACTGTGCTTTCTGTTTTACAAGCCAATTTTCCCGACCTCCGAGCTATATAACTGCAGCTAAGAAAAGACTAAAATAATTCTTAGGCAAAACTGGATTTTTTTTTATAATACTGTTGTATAAAACAAGAGACCCATGGGCCACATCGCTCAACTGAGCACATGGGACAGTTAAAAAAACTCAAATCAGCTTATTATTGAAAAGCTTACTTGTTGGAGAAGGGGAATTAGTTTTCTATTACTAACTTGATAATGTCAATACATCAATAAAGCATACAAAAGTCATGTATAATTTGCCATACTTGAAAAGAAGATTTTAAAGACTTCTAAAGATTTTTTCCAATATATTACTCCCATTGTGAGCCCCCCCCCCCCACTCCCAGACATTTTTTGAATAAATTTAAATCTTCACTACATACAGATGCTTACTTGTCAATTTGACAAAACTTTTCTGTTCTGGAGATTTTTTCCTATATATTCCATGTAATTTGATCAGATATATTGGCCTCGTCCTACCCCCTGGGGGTCATGATTTGAACAAACTTGAATCTACACTACCTGAGCATGCTTCCATAGGAGTTTCATATTTCCTGAAGAAATGGTTCTGGAGAAGAAGATTTAAAAAAATGTTTCTATATATTTCTATATATTTACATTTGCAAATGTTTTCCTTTATATAACACTACTAAAGGCAAGCGTTTTTATAACTGTGTAAATACAGGTATGGGGTCAAGAGGTCATAGATGTGCGTTTGGATAAACGTTCGACGTAATTTCTCTGTGACGTCATAAAGGGTCGACACGCGTTCAGTGGATTACATACATGCCGTTGGGTTTGAAAAAATTAAGGCATTTCACACGTTAACATTAATAATCAGGCAAATATAAAGTATGAATAAGTCACAAATGTAAATATAAGTAATAAGGTATCATTTTTTGAGTTTTATTGAGATGTAAAACGGGTTGGCACATGATCAAATCTTCCATAAAGCCCTTCGGGCTTTATGGGATTTGATCACGTGACCAACCCGTTTTACATCTCAATAAAACTCAAAAAATGATACCTTATTTCTTAAGTAAAACTTTGATCAGCCATTGTGGCCCCGCACTACACCTGGGGGTCATGATTTGAACAAACTGAATCTACACGACTTGAGGATGCTTCCACACGAGTTTCATCTTTCCTGGCCAAATGGTTCTGGAGAAGAAGATTTTTAAAGGACTTTCCCCATATATTCCTATGTAAAACTTTGATCGACCATTGTGGCCTCGCCCCACCTCCGGGGGTCATGATTTGAACAAATTTGAATCTACACTATCTGAGGATGCTTCCACATGATTTTCATCTTTCCTGGCCAAATGACTCTGGAGAAGAAGATTTTTAAAAGACACCATAGATTTTTCATCAATTTATAATTATTTCCCCTTTGAAGAGGGTTTGGCCCTTCATTTGAACAAACTTGAATCCCCTTCACCCAAGGGTGCTTTGTGGCAAGTTTGACTACAGACAAAATGTGATCAGAAAAGCTCACTTGAGCTTTCAGACAGGATACAATATCATGGAGATAACGAACAGTATTAAAATAAAAATAATCATAAAACAATACAAAATAGGAGCAAAGCAAACACGGATCTCCGAAACATCAGGTGGGATCCGGTGCCCTGAAGGAGTGAGCATCCCCTGCCGATCTGCGTATCTTTTAACTAGCTCACCAGGATATACCAAATTGACATAGGAATGGAAATTACCATTGTTAATTTACAATACGCCGTAGATATATCTAAATGTCAAGTTTAATGCATAGGATTTTGCACAAATTCTGCTTCATATGAATACATATATTTGAGTACGCAATTTTAACTTCTACGTTATCAATAAATAGCTTCGGTCCCACCCCTAGAAAATACGGGAATTCTTGTCTTATGCTCTGCTTACAGATTTGTACTGTATTAATTTTTTAAGATTGATAATTGTTCTTTGCCATTATAAGTCATAACGTTATGAGAGTAAACGACGTTATGAAGGTAGACACTTTGAACCTTTAATATTGAATACTTTTTGGTGTACAAAATCTTAGAAGATATGCAACCAAAAAGGTTCAGGGGTACTTAAATAAATACATCGAACACTTCTGTTAAGCCCCTTACCTTTACTGGTGTGTCCTTTTCTTATGACAATCTCACCACAGACAAGATAATCCACATTCAAAAAACAAAGATGTTTCAAAATATCTTGAGCATTTGACAGTAGCGCAAAGGTATACTCTTCTTTTATTGACAGCACGACCACAAAGCTTTTATCATGCTCTATTCCACTAATAACAACATACTCTTTCGAACATTCCAGCATATTGGCAACTGTATCTCGTATAGAGTAGATATCCTCCTTGGAGTATTCTTTGAAATTGCCACATATGTGAAACCTGACAGCTGTATACCCATTTTCTGCAAAGACAATTACAACAATATCTCAAGTTTATATATTGACGTCTCTTTATGAGTGAAACGTTTTCTAGAGCAATATACAAATTAACATATTTCTATATTAATAAAATGCTTAAAAGAGAAAAATACAGAAATGATACCTGGCTGGCTTTCAAAAAAGCAGAGCGCTTCCCAATCTTTGGCATACTTGTAACATCTTTTATAGAGATCAACGCATCCGATCCTCCGTAACACGTATTGTACCAAAATAACATCGCAGTTACTGAACAGTCCTTCCTGTATCAGAATTCCTAAGACTTCCCTCAAGGAATTACATTTAGATAAAGCATCTTCAATTATTGCTCCTTGATCTGAACATGAAAAATATAGTAAGCTGTTTAAAATACAATACGCATACCTTATATAATGGCTTTCAAATATCACGTTCTACAATAAAGAACTTTATTCGGTAATAACCAATATTTGCCCCCCAAATGAAACTTTGATGGAGATATATTTAATTCTCCATCAGCATACGTCAGTATCGAGATCATGTGAGATTGCAAAGCAACTCCCAGATTTTATTCAGTGCGAAGTTTGACCCAGATTCGATCAGTCGGGGAATTTTACGCTCTATATTTTATTTGGATTTAACCTTATTTTGTGATATTTATAGTATATTTTACGATTTAGTTGGACAGTGAATTAGTGCGGAACATTTGCGGTAAATTCAAACGGTTATTTGAACTGTACAGTTACATATTGACGAAGTTCAATAATGGACGAGGAGCGTCCCTCAGGCTCCGACGCCATTTTGAGGGATTTTCTTACGCAAGTGATGTCTACAGAACAGTCAGATACGCATCATGAGCAAGATGTACATAAAGGTGCAATGAATCTCGTAAGCGAGATGCACTTAATAATGAACATTCGTCGCAAGATACCCATAAGTGGGGAGACGATGATTCTCTGGGGACTAGCGCAAGGGTGCTAGATTGCGCAATTACGCGAGACTCAGAAACAAGATCGTGTTAACAACACTGAATTTGTGACAGAGACTATGTTTAAGAAATTCATGGTCGACCAAAATCTGGCGATGCTTGCCATGAAAAAATCTTTGGATGCAATTAACAATATGATTTATGTGGAAGCAGAGTCGACAGATGAGAGTGATTCGGATTTAGTAAAAAAAATTCAGCCAAAAGAAAGTCTGAAAACGTTACAGAAAATGCGTCTAAAAAGGCTAAGATCAGCAGCGAGTCAGAGTCGACCGCACGTGGAAAATTACCCGCTGTCAGTCAAAAGGAGGCGGGGCCTTCAGACTTGGGGAGATGTGACGTAGAAGGAAACAAAAATGGCGGCTCGGATAAACTAGTCTCGTTCAACCAGACGCTCGGCTGTCTCCGTGAACTCCGACCAGCAGAGAGTCTGGTAAAGAATCACATAAGCGTTTGTAACCGTCAGAGGGCGCTATCTTGTTTTCATTTTAAAAATCCTTTTTGTAAGCAAACGTTATATACGTTTCTTCTGATTGATTGTTACTTTATATTAATAAACTGGTCTTTAATTAGGGATACCAAACGAGAAATTACAATATCAGTCGAAAGAATTTGTATTACGCAGGTAGGGCTAAACTACTTTCACTTTGACTTTCGTACAGAATATTTACAAGACATAATCAAATACACTTACCTATAACTGGTGGGCATTACCGTAAACAATTCCTCTCTAACGGTTTTAACTTTTAGACATAGAACTTTTACATCTTTAAGTTATTTTTCTGCTGATTTATCATGTATTTGTTTAAATCTTGTAGGTGTGTTTTTTTCAGCCAATCAAAAACTTTACCAGAATTTCGGTAAGCCTCGCTTTGGCGTTACAATCGATATCACGTATCTTTACCAGAACAGCCGAGGGTCTGGTTGAACGAGACTACGGATAAACATGAGGAAGATCTGAATCATCTGTTTGCGGTTTCCAACTATATTGTAGAGGAAAAAAACGTCAGATGGTGTTGCTACTAAATTAGCAGACTTAGTTAATAAGTTGTTAGTTAGTAAACTCGAGGATTCGAAGAAAAATGACTTATTTGATAAGCATTTACGGCCTGAGAACTGTAATTTGGAATTTCCTCGAGTGAATGATTTTGTGTGGAATTACTGTATGAACGAAACTACGAGATTTACGGATGTTAAGGTACATAAAATTCAGAAAACCTTATTGAAAGGACTTGGTCCGGTGATCAAAGTGGTAGATAGTTTGCTGAAACCCAACAATAACTTTGACAAAAACAAAGCTGCAAAAGATCTACTCGATGTCGTGGCCATGTTGGCCTCTGCTAATACTGAGATTTCTTTGCACAGAAAAGCGTGTATTAAAAACAACATGAAACAAGCATATAAGAAACTGTGCACAAGTCAGACTGAAATCACAGCATACTTGTTTGGTGATGATGTGGTTGACAAAATGAAAAACATCACTGAACATAACAAAATGGCAAACAAGGTAGCATATGAAGACAAAAGCTCCAAAACGAGAATGAAATTCAATCCTCGCCTAAAGTTCAAAGAAAGAGCTAAAACAATTTTTTTAGGGAGAGGACCCCAGCACTACCAGCTGGCCATGGGGAATTACAGCAGGAACTACCACCACAACAATCACGACACAAAGAAAAGCTACACGAAGAAATCTGCGTCCCACCAGAAGCAGAGAAGGTAGGTGACATTCAACATGCTGGGCGAATTAGCCATTTTCTACCTGTGTGGGAATCTATCACACAAGATAGATACATCCTTGATGCTAGCTGTTAAAGGATATTCATTAGCGTTCACTTCGTAACCTGTTCAATATTCAGTGAAAGAAACTAAACTTAATGCTGCAGAGGCAGTTGCTTTAGACAATCAGTTATCAAAGCTAATGGCAAAAGGGGTAGTGGAGATAGCTTCACACTCTGCAGGTGATTATATCTGGACTGTGTTTTTACGTCCAAAAAAGGATGGTAACTATCGAGTTATTTTGAACTTAAAACAACTAAATGAAAACATTGAGTATGCTCATTTTAAAATGGAAAGACTGTGTTCACTCAGCTTTAAGATTAATTCAACCTGGATGTTATATGGGTTCTGTGGACCTAAGTGATGCATATTATACTGTGAATGTAGCTTTCTCTGACAGAAAATATTTAAGATTCATATGGAAAGGAACCCTGTATCAGTACACTTGTTTACCAAATGGCCTTTCAAGTGCACCCAGGCTTTTTACAAAACTCCTAAAGCCTGTGTATGCTTCACTCAGATCTAAAAGACATGTGTCAGTTGCATACATCGACGATTCCTATTTACAAGGAGAAACATATGAACAGTGTTTAAAAAATATTCAAGATACAAAAGAACTCTTTGAACAATTAGGTTTTAAAATCAATAAGGAAAAATCTGTGGTTGTACCTACACATGAACTTGTGTTCTTAGGATTTGTTTTGAATTCTAAATCAATGACAATCAGCCTCACTCCAGAGAAGATAAAGAAATTTAACAATCTTTATAAAAAATTTTGTTTAAAGAAATCATATACTCAATCAGACAAGTTACGGAACTAGTAGGAGTTCTTATTTCGTCCTCGGTAGCAATTCCTTTGGGAATGTTGTACACTTAAATACTTGAGAGAGAAAAGGCCATAGCCCTTAAACGTAAGAAGGGAAATTTTGATTCAAAAATGACATTATCAACAGAGGCACTTCAAGATTTAGAATGGTGGTCAATACAAATAAATAGTGGTATCAAAGCTCCCATTCGACAAATGTGTATTAGTGAAACACTGACTACTGATGCATCAGGAATAGGTTGGGGGGCAGAATACAGTGACGTTTCTACAGGAGGACATTGGTCCATAGAAGAAAAACAGTACTTGCCTAACATTAACTATTTGGAATTACATGCAGTTTTGCTAGGCTTACAAAGTTTTCTTGCTAAATTTGTAATAAACATGTGAAAATTTATTGTGATAATTCTACCACTGTAGCATATATTAACAATAAGGGTGGTACAAAGTCCACTGCATGTAGCTATAAAGCCAGAGAAATATGGGTGTTAGTGCATAAAAATAATATGTGTTTAACAGCTGTTTATTTACCAGGTGTTGAAAATGTAGTGGCAGATAGGGAGAGTAGGATGATTCGAGATGAAACAGAATGGATGTTGAACGAAAAACTTTTTAAGAATTTATCTTGTGTATATTTCAAACCACATATTGATCTGTTTGCATCTCGACTTAACAAACGGTTAAAACGACTTAACAAACAGTTAAAACAATTTGTGAGTTGGAGAAATGAACCTGGCGCATCTTTTGTTGATGCTTTTACAATTTCTTGGACTAATTTGTCTTTGTATGCTTTTCCTCCATTTAGCATTATCGGCCGGGTATGCCAAAAAATCCTGATGGACAAAGCCGAAGGCCTGCTAGTCACACCTCTGTGGGACACACAGAACTGGTATCCAATCATCTTGAGAATGTGTGTGAAACCACCACTTGTTCTGAAACCATCCAAAACGATGCTGCAGCTGAAAAACAATCCTACAAAAGTCCATCCTCTGGCAAGAAAACTTCATCTGATGGTGTGCCATGTTTTAGGAAAAATTTCCAGAAACTCGATTTATCGGAAAGATCAATTTCAGTACTTATGAAATCATGGAGAGGCTCCACGTGTAAACAATACAATGTGTACATAAAGAAGTGGTTTCAGTATTCAAATGAAGTACAGTGTAATAGTTGTATACCAAACATTTCTAATGTGTTACATTTTTTAGCATCACTGATGGCAGAGGGTTGTGGTTACAGTGCTATAAACACAGCTCGATCAGCTCTGTCAGGATTTATTATTGTAGATAACACGCCTGTAGGTCAGCATCCATTAGTTAGAAGATTTTTGAGAGGTGTATTTAACATTAAACCTTGTTTGCCAAAATATGGAATTACTTGGGATGTAAATATAGTGTTAGAATACCTTAAATTGTTAGAAAATGAGACTTTGTCTTTTCAATATGTGACATTTAAGTTAACTATGTTACTAGCTTTGGTGTCAGGACAACGTTGTCAGTCGTTAGCTTCTTTAGATATTGAAGATATGTACATAAATGATGAGTGTATAGTATTTAGGTTCAATGTGTTTCTCAAACAAACAAGACCTTCTTTTCAAGTTGAGCCTTAATTAGTGTTAAGAAAATTTTCAGAATGTCCTTCTCTGTGTGTATATTCTCTGTTGAAACTTTATTTAAAGAAAACAGCAGATATTAGAGGAGATACCACCAAATTATTATTAATGGTTAGAAAACCGCATAATGCTGTAACCAGTCAAACCATAGCACGATGGATCAAA